TGGCCTGGCCGTGGTGAAAAGCTGGCCTCATGGCTCCAGAGTCCCAGGTTCGAATCTCCATGTGTTTGTGTCAGTTTTCACCTGGTGCTCCCATTTCCTCCCTGATTGTAAAGTCATGCAGGTTAGATTCTAAATGGTCCCTTTTCATAGAATATATACGGTAGATCTTCATCTCTGTGAGGTTTGGTACCAGTACTGTCTGTGTAACCATAGAGAAACAATGGTCTCCTCTCACCTGTGCTATTTCCAAAGCTCTAAATGCACTATTTTTTTTTGTTCCTACATTCCTGTTTTTAATCCATTATCTACTGATGTTTCTGCTAGGCACGTCATTCATACTCCATGTAGCTATTCCAGTAACAATTCAGTAGCTGTTGCAGTAGCTATTCCGAACTACAGCTATTCCAGTTGTAAAGCTAGTTGCGTCAAAATCCAGGCTCATTCAGAAGCATGTGCACACACCCACCCCCAACAAAAGCAACCCGCAACCAAAGGGAAATAGGTGTAAAAGGATGTCCAATTATTTGGAATGACAGGAAGACAAGCCCATGTGCCTCCTGCAGTCCAAAGATATACTGGTGGGTTAACTGGCTTCTGGGACAAACTGGCCCTGGTGTGAGTGTGTGTGTTGGTGTCTGTGTGTGCCCTGCGATGAACTGCTGTCCTGTCCAGGGTGTACCCTGCCTTGCACCCATTGCTTGCCTGGATTAGCTCCGGCTCCCCTCCGACCCTGTACTGGATAAAGTGGTTATAAAATGGATGGATGGAAAGACAGGCAGTGTAGCCTCAGCTTTGTGCAAGGTAGAATTTACCATCTTATTTGTCTTATTGATCACATCAGATAGTTCACCTGATTCCTCAATTCATGGCACTCCAGAGCTCCAGAGCCTTGGTGTCAATGGGATTGGATGTATGAGCTCCCTCTACCACAGAGGTGCTGTGTACACAAATGGCAAAGTCGTCTCACCCCCCCTCTGCTTAGCTTTCATGCATATGTGTGTCTTTCACAGAACGCTAGCCAGAAAGACCAGCAGCAACTAAAAATGGAGTTGTTGTTTTTTTTTGTTATAAGAACATGTGTCTTGCATTTAAAAAGAGGATGAGCTTTCAGGTGAAATTTATTCGCCTTTCCCCAGAGAGGATCTGGTTTGAATCGGCAAATTGTTTAAGCGCCTTTCCAGACGTGTGGTCCTAAGAAGGGCCGGCTGTAAATCCTGAGGCATGAAGCTCACGCCCATGGGACACCCTGCGGGCACAACTGGGGAGCTATAAACGGTGCCACCAAACTGCCGTAATTAAAAACAAAGTAGCTCTTATTCACACGTTAGGCTTTCCCTTTTTTACAACTTCGCCGATCTGAAATGGTTCATCTACCATTAAGAATGAATAGACCGTTAATCTTCGGTGCTGGCCGTGCAGCACTCGAGGGAAGAGTGCAGCTCTTGGATGGGATTTGTCCACAGTCACCAGCCCCTCATGCACAGCCTCACGGAGCCACTCCTCCGCCAGCAGGGAATTCTGCCACATGGGAAGACTGGGTGGAACGGCGAAGGGAGTCGGCTCTATCTACACGCCAAGGGGGAGATGCCATCTTCTGCACCAGGTGCATCGCCACCGAATCTATTCAGCCCCCCCCCAGCTGGGGAACCCCAATGACAGTCAGCCAGGGGCAGGACCCAGAACTCAGATCTTCGCTGAAGATCCCAAAGCTGGCCAGCAGAACCAACACAGAGCTGTGGGACATGGTAGCCATGTTGACCCAGAACATCATAGCCCCAGACATACTCATACACATACTTATTAACTAAAATGGTTCCTTCGTTTTTACTTTCATCCTATTTTTTTCGGTTGTACAGGAAGTCCAGACCCACAAGTGCTGCACTACTTGTTTTATTTTCCATGCATTGGGTGCCAAAACATTTTCAATCAGTGCCTGACATTGCACCGGGTTCTGAAACCTGCGTGGGTTCCACTAAGAAGAGAACGTTATCTGCTCCTTCTCTTCTTATACATGCTTTGTAATGGAATGGCAGCCCATCCAAAACAAAGTCCTACTGCCCTTTGAATGCCAGATTAGACTCTGGTCCACTTTGACCTTCTATAGTATAATATAGTATATAGAATGAAGCATCTATGACTAATGGATGGATGTTAATACATGCTGAACTAGCATTATTGAATAGGACAGGATACAAAACTCCATAGTCTTTCAGCTCCTTTTCCCATCACAATGCACTCTTGTACACTACAATGGTCACCCACCAGCCCAGAGCTTGTTAATATTTTTGTCTGCCCCTGCTTTTAAAGGAGGTTTATGGGAAGGTGTTCCTGCTGTGCTGTTAGAAGCTGACAGAAACTGAAAAATGGGTCTTATCTCCTCAATTGCTCTCTGGCCTGATGCCCAGCTGATTGGCTCTCAAGGGGATAAAAACAGAGGGGAGAAATGCTGTAAAATGACAGGAAATTCCTCTCTGGTTGGCTTCCACTAATATGTTCCGCCAGCAAAAAGAATGCTTTCAAACACTGGCCATGTAATGTTAAACAAGGACAAAGCAGAATATGGAATTCAGTTTAGAGCTGCAGAGCTCTTTGTTGCTCTGAAACCTTTCCTTACCCACTCACCCTGAAACAGAATGAAACAAAATGTCTAGAGTAGATTGATACTTTTCCACAGCTGGAGCAAACTATATCCATATTAAAGTCCACAGATCTGGTACACACAGAAATATAAAGATAGCAGCCCCAGCACAGCCTTAATACAACTGAAAAAAGCAACACTAAGCACATAATGGAGCTCACACAAACACATCCCTGTCTGATTTCATAACCTTGTGTTAAGTAGTCAAAAGATTGCTATCATACCATAGGCCAATATTAACAAATGTGCCATCTAAATGCAAATCATTGCTCCTCATTTCACGAGTGAAATGGTACCATTTTGGAATTGAAGTGCAAGTGTAACACTGAGTGTAAAACAAGGTAGAGCAGTAAACTGACCTCACAAACATACTGGAATTTTGTCACCACCTTCTGGCCAACTGTGTGAAAAAGGCATCTGTGTCTGAGCCCTGAAGCCACTGCTGACTGAAGTTACAGTTTGCAAAAATAGGCTCTTCAAAGGGTGTGACTGGATAGTTAATGTGGAAGGAGTGTGCTCTGAGCTCCAAGATCAATTCCTGTGCTGAAGACAAGGAATAATGTGTATGTTATATAACACAAGACATCACAGTACAATATTGTACAACAGAGATCCACCATTTTGGCCAACCCTTGGTTTTTTTTTCCTTGTGGCTTGGGTTCGGCCAACCCCCCATTCCGGGGGTTTTTTTACAAAAGATGATTAATGGCTTTGCATGAAGATTTAATCTGCAAATATCCGCACATTAAATTAATAGTCTTTAATAGCCAGAATTTAATGCTGCATTCTTAGTTATGAAAACCAAACTTGAGGGTGCAGACTGTGGAACGGATTTATATGAGGGGAAGTGATCTGTATCAGAGGAAGCTGAGGGTCATTTGGACAAAAATGCCTTGGCTGGTAACCCATCTTCCCAGGAGGGGTGGGGGAGACAACTGTGGTTGAGGTCTAAGGGGTGAGGTCACGGGCTAGCAAATACTTGCATGATTAATAGGGGCTCCGATCACGGAACAGGGCTTATTTGCATCAAGAAGTGCGCTTATGTTTTATTATAACTGGGCACCATGCCACATTGCTGAATTCCAGGCTTGTTAAACATCCTTAATGGACTGTTCCTACGTGCACATTTAAGGAAAATCAAAATGAATAATCAGATGTGAGATGATATTCTTGTGTAAGTACAAAGGAATAATTCCCAGCCCTTCCAGATCTTAGGGTCGTGAGTCTGGAAATATTGTAGTTCATTTGGCTATACTTTTATTTAGCCCTTCCACTCTTATCACCTATAGAGCTGACGTGTACTACAGAGGAAAAGAACCAGAAATCTGTCCCCCCAAGAACAAGGGGTGATTGCATCTGGAATTATGCAGAACTGAGTGCCTGGGTGGTTTCTTTGCTGGATTTGCATGACTGAAAACATAACTTATGCATTATCGCAGACGTTCAGCCCCAGTGCTTTTCCTGTTTTAACACAGGGAATCCAAGGAATTCAGGGGGTTTTGAAATGTTCGAGAGGCCAAAGGCAAGGCTGGGCCGGTGAGCGACATGCAGCTATCTC